AATTCTGGGGTTTTTTTTCTGTGAAAGTAGTGTTGCCTTCTTCTATCTGCCCAGCATCTTCTGACAAGGGCCATATATTTGTATGCAGGCTTGTTTTTTGGCTGGTGGAGAGGAGCTGTATTAAAGTAGAACTGATTCATGGCTACAAAACTGTCACATTACTTTGGCCAGACATCTCAAATAATCTTTTCTCTCAAGGAAGCAATTATTCTGTCTACAATGACTTTATCATACTAATCAGATTACAGCCTCTGGTCCTCCAGCCAGCGTCAGTACTTCCTTTCAGCAGGGACTGAAGTGGGTTGCTCAGTGATACACAAAATCAATGCCTCCTTTCTAGCTGTTCCAAGTTTAAAAAAAGAACAACCAAAATACCTTGTGTGAAGTTTGGGCTGCATGGAAATGTCAAGATTAAATTCTTCATAATCCTTTTTTTTTTTGTTTGTTTTTTGTTTTTTTTTGCATGGGTAGGCTATATTTTTTCTGCATAATTAAATACTTTGTATTTTGTGGGTAACTAGCATGTATTTGGATAAAAATGTGGGAAGCCTTTTGACCATTAAATCTTGGGGTAAAAAAGGAGAAAATAAGGTCAGAAATTGGCACATTGTCTTTAGTAGTTAATGCTGATTAAAGAACTCAATTATTGCTGATGCTTTTTTCCCTAGTCCAAAACAGAAGCAAGAGAGTAAGGTACAGACATCGTCAGATGATGATACATCTCCTCCACCTGTGCCACCTCTTGTGCTTGACTTCTCACCAGAGAAAACTGCTACAGAAGGAGTAGAAAATGCATTAAAAGAGGCTGAAGTACAAAATCAGCCGGCTGAAGAGAAACAGCCTGAGGTAAGAAATGACAATATATTTTCCTACAAAACTACTAAGTAAACTGCTTGAATCATTTCAAGATAAGGGATAAGTAGGGGAACCATTTCAATATACATGAAGCTAAAACGTGTTAGAATAATGAAATAATAGAATATTCTGAGTTGGAAGGGACCCATCAGAACCGTCAAGTCCAGCTCCAAGCTCTGCACAGGGCATTCCAGAAATCACACTAAACACTTCTTCAGCTCTGTCAGGCTGGTACTGTGACTGCTTCCCTGGGGAGCCTGTTCCAGTGCCCAACTGCTCTGAGTGAAAAACCTTTTCCTGCTATCCAACCTAAACCTCCCCTGACCCAATTTCATGATGTTTCCTTGAGTCCTGTCACTGATCATGGGAATGACGAGATTGATATCTGCTCCTCTGCTTCACCTTGTTCAAGACCACAGTAAGGTCTCCCCTCATCTCCTCCAGGCTGAACAGACCAAGTGCTCTCAGCTGCTTATCAGGCTTCTCCTCCAGACCCATCACCATCCTTGTTGCCTTCCTCTGGATGCTCTCAAATAGCTCAATGTATTTTTTTATATTGTGGTGCCCAATTGACTATAACCATGTGCACCCTCTAGTGCCTATATTTAGCACTGAACATCATATGTTCAGTATTTCCATTAAGTGTGTTCCCATCTCAAATGCACTGACAAATACTTGCAGGTTGTATGTTAAATTTCCACTTTTGGAAGGGTACTGTGAAATCCTTGTAGCTTCAGTTAGAAAAGTACTGTTGCAGGGAAGTTGGTGTTGCAGCCATAAAGCTCCTTCAGGGATTAAAAAAAACCCTCCAAACCCAAAACACTGCTGTAGTTAAAATTCAGTCACCTAAAAGGAGTGTAAATCTGTATACAGTGAGGGAGGATTAAACCCCAAAGTCCATATAGCAGTAAACTTAATTATCAAGTAATTAGTTCAGTGAACACTTCCCCTCTCTCAGGAATGTTGAAAGCTGGCACTCCACAGGCATTAAGAAGAAAGGACTCAAGTTGTAGTTCTGAAATATTATCCTGACAAAATGGCTATTGATTTACGAATACTGAGGTTTGGAATAATCTGTGGATTAATTACTTGATGTTACTGCATCAATATGTTCTTTGTTAGCTTACTTGTGGCATAAAGTGTGTGTTTCAGAATTGCTTAGTACATATATGGGGTAGTTAAACTGGACAACTAGAGTGTGAAGCTGCAAAGAATAGTTTATATGGCTAAATAATAATTGCACAATAATTTTAGTTAAATCATTTAAGTATTAAGAAGGTTACTAATCTTCTGTTTTAAATTTAACTCTACTTTTAAGTGAAAAACTGTTCTATGCCCCAAGGGATCTCTTTTGCTTTTTTTTACCATGTTTCCCCTGTGATGCTAGACACTGGCAGAATAGAAGCTGAGGTTTTTACACTGTGTGCAATGAATCCTGCATGAAAAATACCAGCTGTAAATTAAGCCTGATCTGTGATTATTACAGCTGTATAAGCTAAATTGAATGCTTCAATGTATATGAAGGAAACTTGGTGAACAGGAGAGAAAACCTGAATTTATTTCTTTTAAAGGCTTTACTGCTAGATATTGGAGCAGACAAATCTCTCCCACACACTTCTGAATGTGAAAGCAGACCTTTGATTGACCTTTCCAATACTCCCGAAATGAGTAAGATTACTTCTCCAAAGCCTGTGTTATCTGGACAGATAAAGGTAAGTTTTATTCAAATCATCTGGTGCAAGTTATGTTAGCAGAAAAAATGTCAACTGGCTGCATACCCTTGTCTGCAGAGCGGTTCCACAATACTGTAGGAATTATTTAATATTAGCTCAATATGATATACATAATTAGGTGCTCTTAAGAGAATGTCATGTTTTAAAACAAACAATATGTTCTGAACTAGAGCTCAGTGAGCTATCTGCAAATAGGAAAAGGAGGATGGAGAAATAACTTAGTACTTAAAGCAGTTGTTACAGAAGAAAACTGTTATGAAGCAAGAAGTGAATGTTGTCTTCCGTAGAGTTGGCATGCTTATTCTTGTTTTACCTTTCTTGCTCATTTTCAGTTCTTGGCAGCAGCTCTTTTTAATCAAAAAAGAAAGGATGCCTCTCCTGTTTAGCTCCTCTCCTAATCCTCTCCTTAGCTGCTGCTGTAAATTTTACAAGCATTTCTGGGCGAGTGTTTTCTATACATTAATGGCTTGAAGGTAGATGCCTTTAGATCATTGTCAGATGAATGCTGGTAACTATGAGGATGCAGCCTTTGACAAAAGATGTAGTTGGGCTCAATCAAGCCCTTCAAATTTTGTCAAGAGAGGAGTATTCTGAACTCAAAGGAGTTCAGAAGTGCTGTGTCCTCTCTGGATGGCACTCTCATTAGAATATGCATCATAGTGAAACTTAGAAAAGGTTTTTTAGGTTTTTAAGGTAAGTATGGGCAATAATTTGTGAGAAGCTTGTGCGTGTTGAGAATGAGCATGTTTTTAAAAGCCTGAACCCTAAACAAGAAAAGTACTTTAGAATAATAGAGATAATAGCTGCTAGTAGCTATGCACAACAGTTAGTCAACTACAATAGCTAAATTTTACCATTTTTCTTTCAGCTTATTGATTTGAGTTCTCCTCTTATCACTCTGAGCCCTGATGTAGACAAAGAAAATCTGGATTCCCCTCTACTCAAGTTCTGAATTTGAACTGAAATGAAGAATTCCTAGCAACTGTGATCTTTGAAGTGGTTTTGGTGTTATTCCTCACTTGTATAATTTCTTGAAGGTGGCTGTAGATTGATGAGCTGCATTAACAAAATAGAACTCTAACAGTCTTGATACAGTCAAGAGTCTGATAATGGTTTCGTTCATGGATGTACTGCAGTGGATGTATTTAAACTGTGTTGTTCTAAGGCAAAAAAAACCTGGAATTCTAAGTACTGAATTGGAAACCTGCCTCTTTACTTCCTACTGCTTATCATTTGATTCCTTTCTTCTATGTACAACAACGTTTTAATTTAAAATAAATGAATTGATTCCTAAACCTGTACAAAATAGCAACTTTTTATTGCATGCTTTGGGTAGACTTTGCTAGTGTTTCACTAACACATGCTAATAGGTAGGTAAAAACTAGTGGACTTGGGGTGGTATAACAAGTTTGGAAATAAACATTGTTATAAATGAGAGACAAAAGTCTCGATATTCAGCAAAATTTACATTGCTTTATTTGATATAGGAAGAGCAAGCAGCGCGCTGGGGAACGTGAGGGGTCACCGCCCACTCCACGCTCCACTGAATCTTGGTTTGCAGCCTCTTCTTATACTGGGGTTTCTCCTTGTAATCAATAATTTTTGGTTCTTTGTTGTCATAAGCAGTGGTGGTTGAATAAACATCTTTACACAAATTCATAAAGCCTTCGGGCGATAATCAATCACAGATAGCCATTTGATCCTTGTAGATCAGAGAAGTTCTGGAAGTCTGGTCCTTGAGATAGGCAGCATTGATCAGACAAAGGCAGGAAGGGCTATTGGGAAGTCTGATTTTGCAAGCTGGTAGCCGATACAACTTATTTGGAAAACATAACATAATATAATGTAACATAATACAACATAATATAAGGTGATTTTAAACAGAATGATTTTATCATATCATTTCCTTTGTCTAGTGTTCATGCTTCACTTCAGAGCTTAGTATTCTGGTTTATACAAACCCCAATGCTTTTGTGATTAACACGAATCTTTTATCAATTTTCACAACACTTTAGTATTGAATGCCAGTAGAATAAATCCACAGTACCACCTGAATTTCTGCGATGCAAAGGAGAAGATAACAGCGTGTTACTGCCAGATGGTTTAGTCGTGGCTGCCCCCAGCTGGGCTAAACTGTGGCTTATTCAGGGATACCAGACGTGAAGCAGTCAAACGAACATGTTTTATTCTGGACTTTCCTTTATGTAACTCACGGGGCCGGGTCCTGTGGCGCAGTGGGAGCTGTCGGGCCGAGCATGTGAGGGCTGTGGGTGGCCAGATGAGTGCCAGGGTCCTGCTCTGCCCCTTTCCCGGCCGCGTTCGTTGCTGCCCGGCCCGGCCCGGCCCGGCCCGGCCCGGCGCGGCGCGCAGGCGCTTTGGGCAGCGCGGGCGGGCGGAAGCGGCTCGGGGGCGATGCTGGCGGCTCAGGGGCGCCGCGTGGCCTGCGCCGTGTCCGGCGGCGTGGACAGCGCCGTGGCCGCGCTGCTGCTGCGCCGCCGAGGTGCGGGGCTGGGCAGGCACGGAGGGGAAGGAGTGAGGCCTTGCCCTGCGCCGTGCCATGGCGCGGGGCCCGCGCGTTCCCCCTCGCAGCCGGGTCCGGCCCGCGCCTCCCCCGCGCTCGGCCGCGCCCGCGGGCCGGTGGAGCGGCCCCAAGCCGGGCAGGGCAGCGCGGAGAGCTGGGCACCGCGGGGCCGCAAACGGCCCTAAAAGAGGGAGCGGGGATATGACTGACTTACCGTCGCGTTAGGTTGCTAGAAGAGCTTGGGTTAGCTATCACCTAGAGAAAAAAAACATAGCTGTACAGTAACTGTACTGTAAAACGTAGCACAGAGCTACTCGCATCTTCGGTAAGATGCAGTTACTAAAGCCATTCTTGAGAAATACAGGGTTTGTGCCTCGGCTGTAAGAATGCAACTTTCTAAGTCATTCTTGCCTTTCGTAGGCTATCAGGTGACAGGTGTGTTTATGAAGAACTGGGACCCTCTGGATGAACAGGGAGCTTGCTCTATTGACAGAGATTGTGAAGATGCCTATCGGGTGTGCCAGAAGCTTGATATCCCATTTCACCAGATTTCCTACGTGAAGGAATACTGGAATGAAGTATTCAGGTAGAAACACATTTACCGTAGTTGGTCTTTCATTATATAGGTGTGGTATTGTGTTACAATGAAAAGTAAGAATGGACAGATAATGAGCAATGGCAATTCATTGCAGTTTTATCAATGCTCAGAGAAAGCCCTGAAGCCTGTTAAATATTGAGGAATTATTTTTTTCTCTCATTCGTATTTAAGGTCAGAATTTATATTTGGCTTTTAATATGTATTTTTTTTTAGTTAGTAGGAGATTTCTCCTTGCATGAATGTGTAGTAATTGCTTTGTTGCAGCTTATTTCTTCATTTCTTCAGCTCCTAATGTACTGGCCCAACCTTACTGCAACTTGAAAAAAAAATTATTTAATGGGGTACTGTTACTGTCTGTATGTGTAACGTATGCAGTGCATTTTACATAATGTGTGCTGAATCCAGTTTAGCACAAAATGATTGTTACATAGCCTTGCTTCTTTAAACTTATAACAAATCTGAAACTGTTCTATAAAAAAGGGTGCTCAGATTTTCTGTGAATTTGTTAGACTTTAAGGCAAGTTCTGCGTAGGAAAAGCTGAGAGATTTTCTTGGAAGGTAGGACAAGAAGGGGCACGTTGGTATAACAGCATAATTTATGCAGTGGACATAAGTACATAAAAATTGTTCCCTAATCTTCATCATCCTCCTTTAAATAGTACTGTTACTACCTTACATGAAACTGAGGAATAACCTGGTCATGCTACTTGTACTGCATGTTGAAATGACATCAAGCTGACTACCAAAATTTTAGACCGTCAGTGAAGAAAACAGCAAAATAGCTCTTTTCTGGGAAAGTTCACCCCATTTTTCCCTTTTGGTCTGAGAGAATGAGTAAGTGCTACAAAACTTCTTGGGGTTTGTTAATACAATGTTTCCAAACATTCTGTTACAAATGTCCTGATTTGTTTCAGAATCTTTTTTTTCTTTACTGTCATCATCACAGATCTTAAATTTACTCCTTTAAATTTACTCCTTTTACTCTTTAAAGTGTTATTCACCATAAAACGCCTTTTTTAATGAGAGCTGTTCCAGCTCTTGTCTTTTCCATGGTTTATTCAAAGCTTCTTTCAGTTCTTTCTGTCAGAGAGAGATCCAGTAGACACCCTTCATTGCCCTGTCTCTGGTTCTGTGCTTTACTAGAAGGTCTGAATTGGTGTGAGGGTGGCTTTGTGGTGACTCCTCTATAGAACTCCTAGGGTACCATAGGAGTACACTGTGGGTCAGCAAGAGGGAGGCAGCTCTGGGTAGATCCAGGTGATTTAATTGTTAGTATGAGTTGTTGAATTTAGCACTGTTAAAAAGGAGTTACAGAAAATAAGATATGTTGCTTTATTTTCTATTTTTTAATGTAGTGTCACACTGTAAGGAAGAAGCAATTGATTCTGTTTCAGATGGAGAAAAGTGAAACCAAATACTAGGATTGCTGTTCTTTTAGATCCTGTCTGTGCCCTCAGTTCATCTTGAGTGCAGTGGCTACTGACAACAACCTGACAAACAAAATGATGTAGTGATAAGGCCTTTTTATGTATCAGGTTAGCTTTGGATGCTGGTTTAATTTCATTCATGTTATTTCAGCTTTTTCAAGTGAATAATACTAAGTAATTATGCAACAGTGTAAAACTACAACATAATTTTGAGAAACTTAGAATTTCTAGAAAGGAAAAAAAAGACAACAAAAAGTCTCTAAAATTGAGCCCCATGAGTGACTGCTTGTGATGACATTATTGCAGCTGAAATTACTGTCTGTTCAGCTGAGACATTCCTGGTGTGTACCACCATATTGTCCCACTGAAAAATTAAATAGGGTTGTTCAATTCTGGAGGTAAGTATTCTGTGAGAGATGATAGGATGTGCACAGTGGATAGCCACATCTGCCCAGAGGGAATATTAATTTAATAAAAGAGAGTTACAAGACTCTAAGTCATAATTTAACCCTGTCCTCAGTACACTTTGGAGAAAATCTTCCAAACATTGTTTTTTTAATATTAAAGTCTAATGGGTATTTTATTTCTAACATAAATTATTTACAGTGATTGGGTCTTCTCTGGGGCTGGAACTCAGCTTCTCATATTTAAACACTGTCCAGTTTCTGATAGTATTATGCATGTTAATGATTCTGATAGACATTTGAATCTTTATTTTACAGTGACCTCTTAAAAGAGTATGAATTGGGAAGGACGCCTAATCCTGATATTTTATGTAACAAGCACATCAAATTCAACTATTTCCTGCATTATGCTATGGATAACCTTGGTAAGGCATTTTCAAGTGTGTTAGTACAGAGTGTGTGCCATGGAAATGCTTAAAGGAAACAAACTCTTTAAAAGGTGGGGAAATACATGAGTTCATGTGCATGTCTAACTCATATCTCTGTAGTAGCATGTCAATAATTGTGAAGTATTTGGTTTTAAGATTGCTTTTACGTAAAGAATCATAGAATGGTTCATGTTGGGAGGGACCTTTAAAGGTCATCTAGTCCAGTTCCTCTGCCCTGGGCAGGGACATCTTCCACTAGATTAGGTTGCTCATATGTAGGAACAGATTTATTTCAGGGGCATGCATTGACCTGAACATTAAGTTTTACATTCTTAGGTGGTCCTTAAAGTACAAAAGTACAAGTGCTGGCATGCTGGTGAATAGTTTGCATTATTTAAATAACAGGAGTACAATTATTGTCAGTGTGAGACTTCTCTATAGGTTTTCTTCTTTCATTGCTTTCTGCTTTTCTTACTGTATGTTTGCAATTGTGTTGTGAACTGTGAATTTCAAGTTTCTGCCTTTATGTTATGTTTGGTTTTTCTTCGCTTAATAGGAGCAGATGCAATTGCTACTGGGCATTATGCCAGGACCTCACTGGAGGATGAGGAAGTGTTTCAACAGAAATATACGAAAAGACCACAGAAGCTTTTCAGAAACCGTTTTGAAGTTAGGAATAGTAAGTTGTGTCTTTATTTCATGGTTTGTCCTACATGTGAAAGAGAGATGTAAGCTATATTTGATGTCACAGAGTCAGAGATGTTTTTGATCTTACACGCAATGATTACCAATTAAACCCCAGCCTTTGTAAATGGTTGCTTGTGCTAAACAAGGTATTTACATTACTGAAAATGACCCTGACTTGTCAAGCATTACATTTTCTTGTTTTAAAAGTCAAATGAATGTCTAATACATTATGAGAAGTATACTATATCCAAAGGGAAAAACACTTGTAAACTAAAGCTATGCAAAACTGTGATGATTTTACATTCTAGATTCTCTGCTTTCATTTGTCCACCTCTGGAGTTAAAGGGGTTTGTTTCTTTCTTTTAATTGTACTTCTGGAAAGTTGGAATGGCCCCAGCTGGACCTATGGTCTATATATGTGACAGACTGGTTTACAGATGTTTTTTGTGATTGGCTTCCTTGCCCTGTGACTGAGATTTTGTATCACCAGTTGTGACTGAACTATTGGCCTGTAGTTTGGGTTCGAGTCAAAAAACACATAAGCAGTGTTTGTACAACAGCAGAACTATTGACTTTTAAAGAGGGGGGTGTAACATGATTGAAAAATTGTACCAATTTTATTTCATCTGAGTAATCAGGAGATTTCATCTATTTTAAAGAAAAAGGTCAGACTTCTCGAATCTCTGAGCATTGGTAATAACTCCACTGATTGCTCAAATTATTGATTTCTAGTAGGGTGATTTCAGGGCAAAACAGTGTCTTTCTGAAGAACAGTATACTCCAAGGTATTTGAATCTTCATTCTCTCTTTCACAGGAAATATGAAAGTTGGGGGTTTTTTTGTATTGTCGATGTTCTTGCCAGTGACAGATGCACTATTGAAATAGATGAGGCAGTGTCTTTGTAAGATTCTGTGTAGTACAAAACCAGAATCTTGTAGACCTTTTTAGTGATGAGAAAATATCCCAGTGTTTTCATTAGATTTTGAAAAACATGTAAAATATTGTCTCTAACATGTGTTTGAATATAGTAAATCAGAAATGTTGATTGTCAAATAAAATACTAAAGTAATTTGAACTATTAATAGTAGTTATGTTGAGATGTTTTATGTGTTTCACTTTGCAGCTGTGAAACTTCTTCAAGGGGCTGACCTCTTTAAGGACCAGACCTTCTTTCTAAGTCAGATTTCACAGGATGCTTTGAGGAAAACCATCTTCCCTTTAGGGGATTTAACAAAAAGTTTTGTAAAGAAGATAGCAGCAGAACATGACCTTCATCATGTGCTAAAGAAAAAAGAGGCATGGTAACACTTAACACTGTTTTGATTTATATTTCTCTAAAACAACTTTCCTGAACTTTTTGAACTTTAACTTGTGACAACTTGTCAATTTCTGATAGGAAAGAATAATACAATAGGTTGGGAAACATTTTTCATAGTTGTCTATTTCCTTAAAAGTACTTTTAGGATCTTGTGGTTAGTTATGTAGTTAGCTTGCAGGTATTTTGTCTGCTGTTGTATCAGAAGAACTAAGATGAAGGTGAATGTGTAGGATGCTATGAACCTAAAGGAAAGCATCCTCTATCACAGCAAAGGAGAAGCTTTTGTTCTTTATTCTCCATAGCTTTTTAGAGCTTCTTCACTTATAATTATTTCTCACTATGTCTTTAGAAAATGGATCATACTGTTTTTTCCACAGTTACTCTTAAAAAAAAAAGTTCCGTTTCTCTGAGAACGAAGACTTCGTGAGACGACCTTAAAAGCTGTAATGCAGGCTGTAGTTACGTTGCTGATGCTGCCTTGATTGCTTTTCATGCTTATATTCAGCCTCAGTAAATGGGTGTTTGAAGAATGTCAGCAGTAACTGGAAGGGAAAGAAGCCTATTTGGTTCTGAAAGTGTTTTTTTTTTCAAGAGATAGACCATCACTATATCATTTTGTTACTTTTGTGCTTTAATATGAGACATCTGTTTTTAATATATATACAATCTAGTCACTAAGGTGAATGTATTTATTGAACAGGTGTTCTATTTCCTGTTATCCCTTTTACTTCTGTGCTTATAGCTCTCACTGATTCTGTATAGAATTAGTTATGTTGCAGCAGATGTGGTGGATTTGTTTATGAGATACCTAAGATAGTTTGGGATACATGGGAGGGAGAAAAAGATCTTGGACAGATTACTAATTGACATTGTTTCAAATGTTTTTCTCTGCTTTTGTGTATTCAATTCCATGGTTCTTTTTCAGAGTATGGGGATCTGTTTCATTGGTGAAAGAAACTTTGAAAATTTCCTTCTTGAGGTGAGCAGCACTAAATTTCTGACAGTCTTTGTTTCTTTCTGGTGTTCAGTTTTAAAACACTGTCTATAAAAAAATCTCTAGCAGCTTGTGGTCCACTGTAAGTAGCAATGTCCCACCTCCCTTTGCAGTCACAAGCCTAGTAAGAAGCTGACACCCACAGTCTGTAGGAAGTATCTTGCCCCTCTACCAGCTGTCACTCATTTTCTGGAGCAAAAGAAGTGAACATGCACTCCTGTGCCTGCCAGGCTCTGAGAAATGGTTGGAATGTGAGAGGGGCAAAGTGCTGGATTCTGCCGTCTCCTGACATGTGAGGATAGAAGAAGTGAAGCCTGGAATTACTGCTCATAGGGACTGCCCTTCCTGCTTTTTCTCTGAGAGCAGCATCAAGGAGGAGTCAGTAAGCTGCTTGGGCAGAGCTTGCTTCTTGAAGAGTTATTTTTCATCTTTGAGAGAATATAGTGACAGAATCTGAAATATGCTATGAGGTTTTCTTGGGCTGTCTTGTGACTTACCTCTTCCTCTTTGGTAGTATTTGGAACCTCAACCAGGTAACTTTGTTTCCATTGAAGATAAGAAGGTGATGGGAAGACACAAAGGTAATTGGCTAACCTACCTTAATAACTTACTTTTAGATAAATGGAACAATACCGCTTATATTTGGAGGGACAAATTTTGGGAATTTCCAAAGGTGTCTACAGGTTTTACTCAGTTTGTTAAACCATGGAAAATTTGCTGTATGCAATAGTAGAGCCTTGAACTACAACTGATTCTTGATTATTTGTCCCATATTGTGAGAAAGCAAATAATTATTAGAGTTACTCTGTTGATACTAATTAATTGTTATTTTAATACCAAGAGATCATTGTTCACTTAATTCCTTCAAAATGACTCTACTTCAGTTCCATATTCTTTAGTACCTAAACTTTGCAGAAGAAAATGCACCTCAGTGATGCACAGCAGGACATCATCAAACATGGGCACTTCAACTTTGCCTTTTCTCCTGTGTGTTCTTCCTTTGCTGTCCTCAGTTCAAGCTGCCAGAACTGAGTTTCTCTGCCAAGTTGTTTATGATAATAGGATGTTATGCTAGTACATAAAAGTAAGGGAGACTGGCAAGACTGAGTGGCAGATAACCCACAAATTGAAACTGAAATACATAAATGTATATATTTTATAATACTTAAGAATGCCACAGTTGAAATGGATTAATTTGTAATCTTTAGTTTGCATTTCAGGTACAGATGAAATTTCAAGTAGATGTTAGTTTAGTTTGTGGTTAGCCCTCTTCTCTAAGACAGCTTAGTTTGTTATTCTTTGTTTAGTTGTAAAGTTTTGGGGAAATGATTTTAATGTGTTCTTCTGAAGTAAAAGATGAAAAGTTGCTAGCAGCATTCTATTTTCATATTTCTTTAGGTTGGTTCCTCTTCACAATCGGCCAGAGGGCTCGGCTGGCAGGCCTCAAGGAGGCTTGGTTTGTTGTAGACAAAGATGTTAGCACTGGAGATGTCTTTGTGGTGAGTTAATTAACACTGGATTTGCAAATGACTAATGCATGCATTTTGTGACTGCTGCTGTATGGAATGTGAGCCTAACCTGGGCAGAATTCTTGGCTTTCATTTTGGGGGAAACAAGAAAGAACAGCATAGCATCAGCAGATGTGAAACATCTTTTCCAAACAGGCTTTTCAGGAGCACCAAATTGTTTTAGATTTTGGCATGGAGTTTTACTAAGCAAAGTGCAAATAATGAAAAGAATCAGCCAATCTCTGAGCTCTCATTTTCTACTCTAAAGCACGAGGGTTTTATCTCAGTTATTATGACATGGTTTATAAAATGTGTATTACCTTGGTTTATGATATATTGCTGCTTTGTTTTTCTAGTAAAAGAATGAGAAGCCAGTGACAGAGTTTTATCATTTTGAAAACTGAGGCAGAATATATATGATAAATAATAAATAATTGGTGTATTAATGGCTAATCATATGAGTTGACACAGACTTCTGCAGCTTGCTAGCATTGATAATATTTCTTCCTGTTCATGCAGTTGTTATTCTTCCTGGATACTGATGTGATTATAATGAGGTGTTCTACTGCTTGTTGATATGCCAGTGCATAGGACCATAATCAAATGAGAATTGAGAAGAAACAGACAGGAGCACTAAGAAAAATTTTTATGTCCTACAGCGAGTTTGTCAAAGGCAATGCCTTTGCTGGGGAGGTGTTCATTTGGGAAGCTGGAGAAGAGGGAGGTAGCATCTTGTTGAGACAGGATAAAGGTCAGATTTCTGAACTCAGCCTGAAGAAGGCAAAAATGCAAGTGGAGGGAAAAGCATACAAGAAGAGAGACATGACTCTGAGGAGTAGAAGACTGACAAATCATTCAGGCTTGCTTTAGCCTAATTAAAGTGCTAATAAGTTTTTGCTTTCTTGCTCGCATTGCCTTCATTTTGCTATGGCTTGATGCTTCTGTATTTCATGTTTGACTTTACAAGTTTCATGCTCTCTGGCAAAAACATCAGCAATAAATAAATATATTTTAAGGCACCATCAAGAGATCACCCTGCTCTGTACAGAGACCTCCTGCGAACAAACCGAGTGCACTGGATAGCAGAGGAACCTCCGGCAGAGCTCGTTAGAGAGAAGATGATGGAATGTCATTTCAGATTTCGGCACCAGATGGAGCTGGGTAGTCAAACTTTGTTTTTCTTTTGTCTTGCTCAGTTTGTGAAACTCTGGTAGCGTGTTGGTGTAGTTCTGCAGTAACAGTGGAGAGGTTCTGGCTTGGCCTTCCTGTTTCTGCAGTGTCTTACAAAACAACTTTGTGCAGTAATATCTTGACTTACATCTGTTTAACCTTGATTTTCCTTCTTTAATGTGAACATAATGGTTAACTTCAGGTGTTTGATCATTTTCTGCTCTAGTGCCTTGTGTCCTGACTCTAAACCAAGATGGGAGTGTGTGGATAACACTAGTGAAGCCAGCAAGAGCTATCACACCTGGACAGGTAAGTTATTAGAAGTTGTTTTCCTTCCATTTTTGTGTTTTACCTTATCTGGCTAATAAAACAGAGTAGATTTTTTATTAGCTGGAGCTAAGTAGTTAATTTATTTGCATGTGAGAGTGGTTAGCTTTATTTTTACTATTTATCAGCTATTTTCAGGGAGATTGTTTCTAGTTTTAAATGATCTGTTGTTATCTGTATAGTCCAAGAAACTTGCTTACAAATTTTAGAAATACATGGAAGCATCTCTGGTAATCAGTTGTATATGCAGAAATGGAAGCTGTTGTTGTTTGCAAGAAATAGATTTTAAAAGACATTAATTTGGTAATTGCATGCTTAGTATGGGTTAGGTGTTCAAACCTGTTTAGTGAGACTCTGTCTGGTGAATTCCATTGTCCTGGACAGCTGAGGAGAGGTGCTGTGCCTAAAGGGATGCTTTTTAACATTGCCAGTATAAAGATACTCCATCACATTCTAGCATATTGGCTCTCAAGCATTCCCTGCACCCCTTCTGCCAGCATAAGTTCTGCCCACCCTCCCCAATACTTGGGGGGCCTGTGGGACAAATCAGGAGGGAAATTAGCTGAGAACTGTTTGTAGTGGAGAGAAGCTGAGAAGAATGCAGCCAGGGTTTATGAGAGACATGAGAAGTCCCTGAATGCAGGAGCTGCTGAGCCTGTAACCAGGCTTTCTACTGCCAGGTAGTGATGAGACAAGGCAGGAGATCTGGGCTGCCCTCTCCTGCAGGAACCTTCTGAGCACATCAGGGAGCTCCAGTTGCTTCCTTGCAGATGGTCTGCTGCCATAGTCCTTGGTCCCCTTCCTGTTTTGACAAGTGCCACCATAAGCTGGGCGCAGTTTTCTGGGGAAGGTCCAGCAGATGATGTTACATGTGTCATCCCGTTTGGAAAGGAAACTTTCCAGCACAATCCATTCCACCTCAGTAACTGAAGAGTTTTGGGATAGCCTTGTCAAGTTCATGATGAAATTTCCACCGACACTTTTATAAGTTTACACTCATGTGAACCTACAAATCCTCTGTAATTTGGGGGGTTTTGTTTGTTTCGAGTTGTTTTTTTTTTAAGATTTAGACGGAACAGATGTAAATTGCTTACTGTCCAGCAGGTCTTGCACAGCCTACAGTTGCTCACTGTGGTTTTTGCAGCTGCTAAAAGGACTGTCCCTGTGTTTATTTCCTAGTTTGCTGTTTTCTACAAGGGAGACGAATGCCTGGGCAGTGGGAAGATCCTGAGGATAGGCCCATCAGTGTACACCTTGCAACAGGGCAAAAACCAAGAGGAGAGTCCAAAGAAGGAAGAGATTGACAAAATAGAACCAGCAACATAACGCCTGGGATTGTTTATTGAAGGACTTTGGAGAATTTGCTGACTGAGAACAATAAAAACTATAATAAATGTGGTTCTTAAGGCCAGTTAACCAGAGAGTCCCAGCTCTTGACTGTTAGCACTGAAGGAGTTTAAAGCCAATCTGGTGCAATTTTGCTGGACTGTATGGTGCTGTTTATATTAATACATATCAAGGGCTGTCCTAAGGTGTTCTGTAATAGTAATCTTACATGCAAGAATTTTAATACAAAAATCATGTCTGAAATAATAAATCTATCTCTTATGCTTATGTGAAATGCTTTTTCCCCCCCCCCCTTACTTAAAGGTACCTGTCCCTAGTAAAATATATATGTTATTTTATACTAAATGTGTGTTTGTGCTTTGAACTCTGGAAGAGGAATGAATGATGTTTAAATTCAGCATTTGGAGTGAACTCCAGGCAGCAGATACTTATTTTTCATTTTGCATAGTTTTATAAGAAATGCTTTGGACTCTTAAACTGTATTAAGTAGTCGCATCAGATGTTTATATAAATCAGAATTACAAATCTTTGAGGCTTAAAAGTCTTGAATGTTAAATGTTTTTACACAGCTGACTAATTTTCTGTTAACTCCTGAGGTCTGAGGCTGTTTGGTTTATCTCTTGGAGAAGAGAATGCATTGGTATGCTTGAGCAAAATGCAAATTCATAGGGATTTCCTTATTGTGGATCAATATAGACCTGATAATGATTGGATCTTGCCATGTTTCAAAATGAAGTGTTCTTAGGAAGAGCTGAATACTCCATCAAAATTAGGTAGTTTTATAAGGACTGGGTGCATATTGAGGATACCCTAAATTTATAATAAAACTTAATTGCAGCATTAGCAAAAATGAATTCCTCTCTTTCAGCATGGTAGCAGAAGATAACTGTTCCTGAAGTACAGCTGTGCAGGAGCAGGGCTTCCTGGAGGTGTAGAATTCTGAGATTTTAACTGGCAGTGAGATCCCAGGTTTGCTGAGAGCTGCTGAGCCAGTGCTTCATAGCAGGAAAGGTTAACCATGTCCTGCTTGTAGCACAGCTAGCATTGGATGCAATGAATATCTGCTACAGCACCTGCAGAACAGAGGCTTTTGAACATATTCTCTGCTTCCCCCTTTTTATTTAAGCATCCTTAGCATTGGACACAGCAGTAATCCAGGATGGCTAATGCAGAAAGTTCAGAAGCTAACATGCAGCTCTTTGGTGGAAAGCTCTCCAGTAATGATCTCCATTCACTTTATAGGCTCAGAGGACTTTGATTTTTATCATCAGAGGTGTAGTTCATGGTTCTGCTGAAGAATCTTCATCCCAGGTAGAGGTGAATATGGACAATGTTTGGTTAGTACAGACTCATTGTCTGAGAAGGGTGGAGGCTGCAGCTCAGTCTCTTAACATGGTGACAAGCAAAGCCCTTTGACATGATGAAGTGATTCTTGCTCCCAGTGAACTTCACCACATTGCTGTGGGCTAGGAGTTAGTGGGCATTTGTGAAATTCAAATTGCAAATGGCTTCTTGCATGGGATGCTTCACAAGAGGCTAAAAGGGTGTCCAGCAACACCACACTTGTGTGCTTAAACCAGCATTTCCAAACAGCTTGGAAACAGGGAGGTAAAGGAATGAGATTGGTGCTGGGGTCAGGCAGCCATGTGCCCTACAAGGGACTGTCACTGACACTATTGCTCACACAGCCTTTGCCAAAGCTGGAATTTGGCCAAGATTAAGCTTGAATAGGGTAAAAGCAGTGTGGCAGGTCAATTTTCTTTTTTTATATCTATTGCAGAAGATTAGCATCAATGTGCTTTTTAAAATTCATTGGCTTTTCACTTTTTTTTGTTGTTTCTTCTGCCACTTTGGGCAACAAATTGCAAGCAAGTGATTTCACTTTCAAGTTGTCATTAAGCTTTTTAGGTCTTGAAATATTTGGTTTCAAAGACTCACATGCATAACTATTTAGAAAAGGATTTTTCCTTCCAAAGTAGAAAATGTGATAACAAGATTAGGATCATATAACTGAAAAACCACAACTCATGTCAGCTAAGGCTGGGTCTGAATTGAAATCTCTGTTGTGCCCTGTGAATATATTTGAAACCTGTATTTCTGAGTGTATAATGGCTGAAAAATTGCACTCCAAGTGCAGTTTTATTCCAGAAGTGCTTGTGTAAAACCTTTCTTAATTGCACTCCTGGTTTTGCTCCATCTTGGCAGTGTTCCTGCCACAGCTGGTGCTGGAGGACAGAAGTGTCCCCATGCAAGGAGAGCAAGGCTGTCCTGTGATTCTGTCTTCACCTGGTTAGGAACTTTGGAGCACTGAGGTGTTGCACAGGTGTGGTGAAGGATTTCATTGGCACTATGGCAGCACAGTATTTGCAGTCCATCAGTAAAGCATTGGCTCATAATATTTGCATTGGCTTTTAGGGCTGAGAGAAGCTGTCATCCTCCTATTTCAAAAGTGAGCATTCAGTCTCTTTAGCTGCAAACCACAGGCAACAAAGCTGCTGTTGTTTTTATAAAGCTTTATCCTCTTCCTCCTTTTTAGAGTAGGCCTAAATTTTTAACATACTTAGAGGCAAAAAAAAAAAAACTTTATGGATGCAGCATTTAAATTTGTACTTTTCTATATGTAAATATTGAATCCAGCCCCTATAGAGAAGGCTGAGCTCTCCCTGGAAGCTGGGAGGTGTGTGCAGTCTCTCCTGTGCAGTGTCTCCCCCGAAGGCAATGAGATGGGACTGGAGTGAAGGCTCACAGCACAGCCTCTGCTGCCGGGATTTCAGGATCATGCTGTTTCAGAGTAAAGGATGCAATTTCCCCTTCCACTTTGATTCCAAAACAGATTTTTCTAACCTCTCTTTATCCAAAAGAACCCTTTCAGCTTGGAGGCTTCAGCACAGGAAGGGCCGGGGAGAGTCTCTGCTGTCCCTGCTTTGCACGGGACCGTGTTGGGTTCTGCAGCCACAATGAGCTGCAGGGGAATCTCAGCGCCATCAAACAACCTCGGGTTTAATTTTAAAAACGCTTTCTCTACATTTATACGTATTTCCACGCTTTAAAGTGTTGAACAGAGTGGAATGATCTATGATAAATGCGATAATCACACCAACGTGGTACGCACCAGTGATGCAGGGAATGATGTGCCATTTCCAGCTTTAGCACCAGGAGGCACCAGGGCATCACGGTCATCCCTCCCAACCGTGGGCAACCTTGCTGGGAGATGGTGGCAATTAGCACATCTGTAATTGTGAGGTTTTTTTCCCCTTTTGTTTTAGATTTTTGCAAAGTCAATCCATTGGAAGAATTGCCCCTCGGTGGGTTTGCTCACGGCAGGGATAAAGCTGCCCCGGCATGTCAGCACAGCCATGGGCCGGCTGAGAAGCAGCACCTTTTAAAAGCCAAACTCTCACTGGGGCTCGGCAGAGACCATGGTACAGATCAGGCCAGTGATCCCTGGCAGCAAGGAAAACACACACTTCTTCCTCAGAGTTCAGGTCCTGCCTGCCTTCTTTCCCCTGTGCCAGGATGTGCAGGTCATTTGTTTCCTGGTCACTCTCCAATTTCATCTGGTTCTTGAATGGGTAGAGGTAAAAGGGAGATTTATATTTTTCCTCTTGAGAACTAGTAGCAGATTTTTACACTTTGAATATGTGAGGGTTCTGATGAACAGTGACTTTTGGGGTTTTTTAAAGTGTTTTGCTGATTACAACAGGCATGGCACCAGCTACAGAAATGAGAAAGCAAAAAATGAATGGACTCCTTATTCTGTGCAGGTTTGCAGCATTCAGAGTAATTTCTTCAATACAAAGGAGCTTCCAACTCATTCTGCAAGTTTAAGGTCCTAGAAACAATGAAATACATGGACAGATACCCCTTAAATAGACCTTACCTGAAGAAATTAAAGTTTTTCTGGTGACTGCCCCCACCTGAACTCTGATAATTCAGTGGCACCTTTCCCATACGATAGCACCATCTTTTGAGGAGGCTCCCGGGAAAATACCAGTCTTGTGATTACAGCACATCAGTCCCTGTTGAAAAGCAGCAGACCTACTTCCAGTAAGAAGATACATCAAGAGAAAAGTGACCTGACTACTCTGTCCTGGATTTCTGCAGAAGTGCTGTGGGGGGACTCAGAAATTCCTCTGGTGCTTTACATTCCTGCAGGGCTCCTGGGTTTGTGTCCCTGGGGTTGCATGAGCTGGTGATGCCTGGAAAGGTTGACCTGGAACAGAGATTAGACAGAGCAAAACGAATAAAATAGGTATTTGTTGAAAGGATACATCTTGGGCAGTGCAAGAGCCTGGCCAGGGCTACACCCAAGTCCAATCCAAGATGGATCCAGGTCACAAGTTTTTACACTTTTATAAGTTTTGGTTCATCTACATATTGGGGTCAATTATCCAAGCACAGCCCCAGACTATGAAATCTCAACCCCCTGACTTGCCCCCTTCCCTTAGCCATTATTTAGCTTTTTGGGTACTGAATGTCCTTGATTCTCTAGCTAGGAAGGGATTGTTTTGTCTAACTACATTGTGAAGAGAACTTACTAACACCTATTATGAAGTTTCAGAGTTACACACTAAGCAGCAGAGAATCTGAAAAGTATAAAAGCTAAAACCCAAGGCATCACTGGATGTAGTCTGCAAGTAGTGTTGGTGGCAGTTCTGGCTGGCAGATGGGACATCTGGGTTGTATCAAAAACCCTTCAAGTTGGACTCCTAGACAAATGGTGAATTCTTCCTTTTCTCCAAGAATGCCCCTAGGGAGGAAAGAGACTCAAGATGTATGCAGCACTGACTTCGTGGGAGCCAGCTGTTTCATCCCTCTGTGCATCCAGTTCTCTTTTTATTTCAATGAAATTGGACCAGAGCAGAGACAGGAAGTTCAGCCATGTCCTTGGGAGCAGGGAAGATGTGCCATGTGCTCCTCTTCCCTGTGGCAGGTACTGCAGAGATTTCCTCTGTCTGCCCCCCAGTCTGCTGTTCTCCAGGGCTGATTAGCACAAGCACAGCAGGAAAATCCTGGGTTCTGCTCACTTCTCAGGGCAATACAGGAGAGACTGAATGAAAACCAGTGATGGAACAGTTCTTCTCTCATTTGAAGGACTTCAGTGAAATTTGCATCTAAAAAAGGGTAGCACAGATCCCTTTGGAAACCTGTCCATCTCAAAGGCTGCGTGCCCAGCCCTGCTGCAGCTCTTGCCTGGTGGCAAAGCAAACTCAGCTGGTCTGGTATGGTCTCATTACACTGGATGAGGCTTTGTATGAAACTATAAACTTCAAAGAAGGATGGATTGTAAATATAAAATGGACTAGTATGCAAAAATAGGATAACTAGCCATGTAGCATCTGGTGGATTTCAGATTGGTGCTGGATTAAAGGTAGTTTTTATTTTAATCTAGTTATTTAACTACTCTTCACACATTTTTATCTCTCCTCTCTGAGAGTACACGAAGGACTCTCTAGGTCATGTCACACCAACAGCTCCATGGCTGTTAGCAAATTTGCTATATGTAGCAAAACTGTTTCAACAATCTATTACAAGTTTGAAAGCTTTCAGGTGTGACTTTTAAATTGAAAATCACTTTACGTACTATTAGTACTTATTCATATAGTAACACCTTTAGAAATAAATCAGAATAATCTAAACTGGGTTTAAATATTAAAGGTGTTTTATGATATAAGATTGTTACACTGAATTAGTTTTATACCTACCTTTTAGGGTGAAGGAGATGGCACAAGAAGAACCTGTGAACTGATTAGTAGCCAGGTGTTGATCCTTATTTAAAACACATGGAGCAGAGACTGTCCTCTTGTGGTGTGTCTTCCTCTGCACTGCAATGCAACAGTGGTACTTGAA